AGCACTCCCGAGTCTTCTTTTGCGCTCTCCATCGAAGAGGCGCCTTCCGGCGACTCGGTGCCGCCCAAGGCCTTCTCGGCCTTCATCGCCTTCGCGCCGCCAGCTGCCCGCGACATGGGGACCAGCACTGCGTCGCTGACGTAGCGATCACAGGTGGACTTACGGCCGTCCGGAAACAGTTGGGCTCATAACCCGCGTGTGCTCGAAAGGCACCTTTTCTCGGACAAAAAAAAGGCTTCAGTCGTTCACTTCTCGATTTGTGCGTTGCACATCGAACAACTTGGTACACTTCTCGATTTCATGTACCGGCAAATTCAACCCACCAGCAACTTTCTGTTGAGTGGCCGGGTCTGTGGCCAAGTGTTGAGCTGGGCTCAAGCACACATGACCGACATATTGATTAGTCACAGTCACAGATATTCACAGCATTGCTTGACACTGCATCATGCGGTCAGGTTGTGGTAACACTACCACAGCACTGCACCAAGCTTCGAATTTCGTCTCGTAATGCTTTGATGGCAGGTGTAGACTTGACTGCGTAGAAGAGGAATAATAACTTAGGCCAAGCAAAGAAGATGAACGAGTTGTTTGTTTCCTATTGGTTGCAACTTCAAAAGTGTTGCCAAGGCTGTGCACCGTGTGTGGATTTAGAGGTGATTCGGGTGATTGTGCCCTCTCCAATTGCCCATCATTGCTTGAGATTTTTGCAATGAACTTTTTCCAACAGTTTGCCTGGTGTGCTTGGTGTGTTGATTTGGTGTCTTTTGTGCAACTGCCTCATTCCCACCTTTCTTGGCCCATTGATCCAAGCAGAAGCCCGCAGCAGCCGACCCCGACAAGGACGATTCCCACATCAAGGAGTTCCTCCTGTTTCGTATCCAGGAGCCTGGTTGCGTTTTCGCTACAACTTCATTTGGGTATGCGGTATGCGGCATGATGGGCCCAAGTCGGCTGACCTTGCGCTTCGTTTGTGCTTTATAATCGGTCATACTCGACCAAAGGCAAACTTTAGGAGCACGCCTGCTCTTCAATGAAGCCAAGTGGTTGTATATTAGCCAAACAAACAAGTGTCTCGTACTGGCCCTTCGGCCCTTTGGTATACAAGTGGTAGAGTACACCTCGACTTGTGTGGGGACAGATGCATGAAGGAGAGATGTGATTTAGGAATGACTGCTTGGTGCTCAGAGGCAACTCTACGTGATGTACTTGGCCCTTGGATTCCAGTCCCAAGAGCAAGCTATCATGCTTTTTGGCTGCAAGGCCATTCAAGCCCATGATTTTCATCATTGTTTTGCCTCGTATTTGCCTGCTATCATTTCTTCATTGACATGATAAAACGCCGTAGGGGAAATAGCCTGTGCAAGTTAAGCTGGCAAGCTGGGGTGTTTTTTCGACCGAAAGCACCAGCCGCTAGCCACTCAGTCAGCCAGTCATCCATGTTAAGGTTCCAAATGTTTCCAATGTGACAATCGTGGCAATTCGAAACAAAGCGTGTCAAGTCGGTGATATAAAGATACAACAAATGGTCGATGATGTGTCGCATGCACGCTGAGGTGTCACTTTATGCAGGACAGCGTAGTTTCAGCCCACCCAACCTAGCGGACTTGCATCATGCGTTGCTGCCAACAGGTGCCCAACTGAGGCCACTGTTGTGCTTGCCATCTTGCCATTTAACATACGGAGAACAGAGAGAGAGAGAGAGAGAGTCCGAGAGCGAGAGCGACAGAGAGAGTGGGCACCAGATAAATGCTGCAACTCACAACTCGTAACTTGCCAGGAAAATCTGCTTGGAATTCTTGGAGACGGCAACATTAGACAGGTTTTGGTGCCTTCAAAAGACACATGTTTTCTCTCCAAAAGACAAAGGAACATTTGTTCAAGCATGTTTGAACTTCCTTGGCTGACCCAAACTCGGGGTTGGCGTCCTTCCTTCGTTTCTTATGCTTCCTTATCCCCCAAAAGACCAATTGAAGCCAATCAAGCACTCCTACGCACCCATTAAAGTCATTAAGGCAAACACTTGCTACTTGCCAAGCCCAGGTGCTTTGGCCTTGCTTCGGGTTCCCTGCTTGCCTTCCGAAGAGCGCTTCCTCGGTGGCCTCCAGCTGCTCGGGCAGATGGAGTCAGCAGAGTCAGCTCATTGTGTTTTGAAGGTTTTTTTGAACAATCTTTTGTTCAGAAGTTCAACTGTTTTCCTTTGTTTGTTCTTTTTGCTTTGGAAGTTGTGTTTTGTGTACTGGAACTTTACTGTAAGTGTTCTGAGCATCGGCTTTGCGCATGGAGTGCCAGACTCTTGTTCAACTTGCTTGAATAAAACAATCCAGCCTTTGATCGCGGCACTAGCCTTGACATACATACAGACGCACATATATTGTTTGAACGTCTCTTTTTTTCACTTTGTGAGCTCTTCAAGATTTGCCAACCTCGGCACCACAACAAGACATGAGGGCGATGTTGGCATTGGCCACAGCACCCCTCTACTTTTTGATGATGCGATACCGACACTCCGCCAAATTTAGTGTTTTCGTGATCATCGCAGCTGGCCGTCAAATCTAATTGATGCCTTTGTGGATCTTATTATACGGAATTAACAGATATGTGGTGGTGGGTGCGCGCATGCCCAGATGAACGTGGTCTCATGGTGGACATTCTGAAGGCATTCTGGTTGTGGTGTGGGCATGGTTTTGTCATGCTGCGGTAAAGGTACGTGTTTGTTGAGAGAATATCAAACATCAGATCAATGTATGATCATGTCAATATAGTATCCAACCGGAGGATCCAAGACTCGTTCATGCTGTAGAGACTGCAAACCTGTCCTGGACCAAGAAATGATGTTCTTCCCGCATATGGCATTGTATCTTGGCTTCAAAGAGAGAAAAGTTCTCAGAACCCCGTCGCGCTGTCTCCTATCAGCAAGCTGTTGAGGGAGAGAAGCTGGTTGGTCATATTCCGCAAAACAACTCTGTGTCATATTAATTGGTTCAGCCGGTCCAGAAGTCTGAATTTCTAGTGTTCTTGAACCCGCTTATATACATCTTAAATCTTGGAAGGATCGTTGGCTGCTCGTAAATGTAGTGGTATTCAAGGTCAAGTATAGGCTCCCATGTATTTTGTTTGCAAGTTCAAAAGAATGGAACCAAATTGTGAGAGCACAAAATGGCTATGGCCACCGCACTAATGCAATACAAGGGTTTCTTTCCCGAGGCTGGGTTCTTCCTTGGCATCCTTCCTGCCCAAGTCTTCAGGCCTTGCCATCGCCCAAGCCTTGGAACGTCACATGCAGCCCACACAGGCCATTGCTGGATTTGTCCTGTCAGGCCATTGCTCTCCTGGCCATCTCAGAGACATTCACACGCAGATCCATTTTTGGACCGCCAGGTGAGAAGTGAGAGTTGACCTGTCGTAAGAGGGGCCATAACAGCCACAACAGCCCAGACAGGTAGCTAGTCCTCATAGTCTGTTTCAGACAGGTTGGCGGATAGCGGACTCACAGCCTGATTCAGCAGAGACATCCTACCGGTGCATTTTAATATGCAGTGCTGCGAAGGCTGTAGTGGCTACTGTTGACGTTTGATTATTTTACAAAATGCATCGCAGCATCAAAGTGCAATGTTTGTTTGCGCAGACCAGCAACCAATGCCTGATGCAGGACAATCGTACCCTGTAGCCGAAGACCAGGTGTGGATTCGTAGGGGGGGTCGATGACTGACTGTGACCTGATATTCACATTTGTTGGTCATTTGTAGCAGTAGCTGGGCATCCCAGGTGGAACGAGCTCTTCTGATGGAGTGGATCAGGTGCCTCCGTAATGATTCTGGAGGCTTTTGACCGTAATTATGTATTCTGTTGGGCTATATGAGGTTATATATATGGCCAGATTAGAAAACACTATTTACAATATTTCATGAACAGTTCGGTATTGTTCAAGCCAAAATGCTTAGGATTCAGGATGTCTACAGCTAGCTTCAATCTAGCTCTCCATGTGATCCTCAGCCGTTTTTGTTCATGTGTTCTTTTCACTACGGGCAACAGACAAGTGACATTATCCAGCGGGTTCAACTTGGTAGGCTCACGCATTCAACCATTCGATATTCAGATGGTTTCCTACTCAGGAGAAGCAACTTGGGGAAGAGATAGTTTAACAGCTTAGCTCTGTCCTCCACAGAAACTTTGGGCTCCTGAAACGTTTCTGCAAGCACCTTGGACTTTGTGGTCTTTGCAAGAAGGCATTCGGTAACAGACGGTCCTGCACCGATTGCTTCAACTGCAGGACGAACACATCATCATCGGACATCATCGCTGCGGGTATGGGAATGTCTGCTTTGGCCGGGGTCTGTGAGCAGAGGTTGGAAATGTACGGAAGAATGGGAGAGGAGAAACAATAAAATGTTTTAGAGTTTCTCAGCTTCTGTTGCCGCTTGAATATAGGCAGGAAGCAGGATTTCGCAATTGTCCGGAGTTGTGTTTTCTTTCATGATTTCAATTATTAATTATATACTTGTAGTATCTCGTAGTTTGTTTCTTATGAAAGGCTTGGATAAACTGCCCAGCGTGAGGTGAGGCTTCATAGCCTGCGAGGTCTGGAGACTCAGGATCAGATGACTGGCAGTTTTGGCACTTCGGACCACGCAAACCACCAAACGAACCCATTCAGGTTTGCTTAGCTGATCAACAAAGTGCATTTCGGCAAGCAAGACATATGTGTGCATGCTGGCGACTGTGCATTTCAGCTCAAATACCCCAATACCTCCCAATAGCAATTTACGAACACAGAAGGCAACCGTTTCATGGGCCTGCAAAAACGGCCAATGTTTGCAAGACAGCGCATCATGCTGTTGTACAAGCAAGGACATTTTTCAAGGGCAATGTGTAGTGTTGCACGTCACGTGTGACCTTGTGATATCTTGTGATAAGATTTCTGGAACAACAAGAAAAACACCAAGAGTGCAAGCACAAGCACCAGCAGACACGCATAGCCACCACTTCACCCAACTAGGTCCAACAGCTTCGACCTATGGAATATCGGCATGACCGGAAAGCGATGGCGTCACCCAAGGAGCGACCACAGGACGAGTTCATCACTTTCACTGTTCGCGGTCAAAGATCCTTGGGCACTACGAGGGGCGGAGCCCTTGGCCGCGGCGGAACGTGTGAATGTTTAGAGTAGATAAAGCTCCATTAGAACATGCTACATCATGCTACCAGTAGCTTCTTGTTGCTAGTAGCGATGGCGTCCAACCTAATAGCGATGGCCTCCACCTAGTACCCATGGCCCAACCAATGGGGTTTGGTCTATCTTCACTCATCCATTGGCCACCTTGAATGACGTTGCCTATTTCGCTTTTGTTGGATTGCCATTTTGTTGGTTTCGAGGTATATCTGAGCAAGTTGCACGGCGATCCCTCACAGAGGAGGTATCTCCTGTACTGCTGGCCATGGTGGAACCACCGCTGCTTGGAATCGAAGGGGTTCAGAATCAGTATGCAAGTGAAAAGATGCCTATTGAAGGTCTCCGCTAGTAGGTTGGGGGCCATCGCCATTAGGTGATCCTGCAACCAGAGGCCAGATGACGAGCTAAGACGCGGGGAACAAGATGCTATGGGCCGCTACATCCTGGAGGGTCCTGTCGCTCAACTCAATGGGATGCTAAAGGCTTGATACAAGAACGACCGATTTTTGCGGCTCCAAGGCCAGCAAGGAAGCATTTTCTTTGTTGGTCGAATGCGTGCGTCAGGGTGGCCTGGTTCCGTCACTTGGACTTATTTTCCACGCTCTTTGTTGGTGCTTTGTTCTCGTCTTTTGCAGTCATTTGCATTAAATTATATATGCAAGCCAAAATACCAAGATTTGCTGACCAATTATGTATATAATATATTTATATAGTGCTTTTGATTCCTTTTGAAAGGTCCTCTGAAATGTCCCGGCGAGTTCAAGAGCTGGATCTTGAAGCCCGGATTGAAGCCTGCCGCAGCTGGGCACAAGCAAAGCTCCAGTCAGACAATAGGGCCATGGGACTAGTGACTAGATGTGACTAGTGCAATACAGTGCATATCTAGTTAGGAAACCACTTTTTCGCTAGTCACTAGTCGCATACTCCAACATCACCAAATCACAGAATCTTTCCATAAGACTATGTAGAATCCTTTTTGGATGGGTTCACCACTCTGTGCTTGACTAAGTACGTGTTGCCCAACAACATACCGTCATTCAGCAGCCAATCAAGTGTAGCTACCCGATGCCTGAAAATACAGCCTGGACGGACAGAAGTCTCAGAATGATTCAGTTATATATATAAGTTAAGTTTCCCCAAACATCTAGGAACGAAATCACTAGTGTGTGAGCACGTCCAGTTACTAGTAGCTTACTTACTAGCGACCTCTCCCTACTAGCTACCTAGCTACTACTGTAGCGGCCTGGCATAACCTCCCAAAAAAACAGAACAACGCTTAGGATTTGTGGACTACTACTTGCTGCCCGGGAGGTCGTAGCTTCGTATGCAAAGTTAGACGTGCTTGGCAGGTCAAAAACCAGTTGATCAGCTGCAGTCACCAGTCACGGTTACCAGTCTTTTCAATGGTGTAATTGGATGTCCTGTTCATGGAGGATGTTTTGAGAAATAATTGTGGCACACTGAAGCTCCCTTCTTTGCCACGTGTCCTCAGATTTGCCAGATATATAGACTAGCCAGCCCTCGAACCTTGAAAACACTAAGATATTGATATGGCATTGTGACATATTATGACAGGCTTGCAGTTTTTGTTCAATCCTTTTACCTCCCCAAACGTTTTTTCCTCAAACCTTTGTTCAAAGGTTGTGGCTGCCTCAGGAAGGTCCTGATCACACTGCTTTTGTTCAAAGGAACTTTTTTTGGCTGCCTCAGGAAGATGCAGCTTACAAAGGAGCTTTTTGGTTCGCTGGTGGGATCTGAGGGGTTCCCCAGAGAGGTGCTTGATGCTTGGCTTGAAAGATTGTGGCCATTGCAGGGTGAGCAGCTGAATGTCTTGTAAGTCAATGTAGACCCTCGATCATCCTATCATATATCTATTTATCCATCTATCATCATTTATTTGTTTATCTATTTGTCTATCTGTCTATGTACGATGTATTAGCATAGTCATAGTCTACTTTAACTCTTTAGGTACAAGTTGTTCAACGTTTTGCGCATGCAATATGTACTTGGACACAAGAGTCTTTAATTTGTATGAATGCAACAGTAGCTTTTAGCTCGATGAGACAATGAATGAAATAGTGTTTGCCTCAATAAGAACAGTGGTTTTGGGTAGATGGACATTTGTTGTACATGAAAGCAAAGACAAGCTCATCTCTCCTTGGGCCACTTGGAGCAAAATCTCTCCAAGCACTTAGGATATGGATCACTTGGGCCTTTGTCGCTCGGAGACTTGCTTAGCACTGGCCAGGGTGCGTGGATGAGATGAAGCATTGTGAGCCCTCAGGAGATGATCATGGAGAAGATTCATCTTGCAAACTTGCAGATAAAGAATCTGTGTTTGGAAAACTCCCACGTCAAAAAGATCGAGATCCAACGATGTAACCTGGTCGATTGCCGCTTGGAATGGTCTTCCAGTCAAAAGCATGTGGATCCTATATGATCCTATTGTATCTGTTTATCGAGTCAATTATGTATCCTTTAGTTGCAGCTATGTCTGATTGAAGCTATGTGAGTTTGTATACACTAATTGTACCGTATACAATAGAATAGAAAGCTTTCTCAGCTATTTTGGGTCAGTTCCTGGCCAGTTGTGTATGAGAGCTTGAGTTTCGGATGCCGTCGCACGCAAAGCTCTTTCCGATACGAAGACGCCGAAATGTTTTGTTGAGCCATGCAGAGCCAGGTGACCTGTCCCTGACGGTGACCGCCGGTGAGGTGAGGATCAGCAACTCCAGACTGGAGAATGTCCAACTGGGTGTTTTCAGCATGGTTACTTCAGCATCTCGACACGGGGTCTTTGTCGTTTGCTCTTGTCTCGGTTTCTCTCACAGATGTGGCATCCCAAATCCAAGAGAATAGGGCAGATCCATCACCAATGCCTGTTTTTGTTCATCAACAAGAGATGTTAAGAGTCAAAGGTTGGTTGAAAAACATGCCTAGCCTATACCCAACTGGTATGTCCACAAAGTGCTGTGCCGGAGGAATGCCACTGGCCAAGTTTGGGCTTGGCTTGCTTTTGAACAAATACATCACTTAAATTTATCAATTAATGAACCAAGAATCAGCAATCAAACTTGCACAGCCTTGATGAAGCCACAGTGTCAGCATTTATATAGATATACTGCAGTTGAATCATACAGGATGTCGACTCACGGCATTACTCATCATCACCCCCTGGAATCCAACAATGCCAAATAATATGAAGGAGGGATCCCCCAAAGTATAATAGATGGTCGTTCAAGGAAGGGTTTTAATGGTTTCTTGGAAAATTGGTCGAAGAGACAGCCAGGCCAAATTAATTAGGTCAGATGTGTGTTTATTTTGAAAGGCGGTTGGCATTGCAAAAATGGGCTATATAATCTAATAGAGGGATACTTGATCATGAGTTGACATCATCTACATGTATAAGTTCGGCCTCTTGCATTCAGGAATATGTAAAGTACAGGTCGTATGATGTTTACGTGGTGCTGAAGTGGTGCAGATCGAGGATACACTTGTGAGAGACACTAACCTTCACATGCTTATCCAGCGTTCCCCCTCTTTGCTCAATCTATTTTCTGCGCCGCACTACAAACAAGCAGTGATTAGAGATTTTGGCGGTCACACATCATCAATATGCCCTGCAATCCACCCTGAACCACTTCACCCACATGTTGCATGTTTGCCTTTGAATAGGTGCAACAAACCGATGTCAGTGGTCCAACAAAACACGTGGACATGAGATGTTGTACAAGGTTACCCCAGTCTGGATGTCAAACTTCTCAGCTGATTTTTTGACAGTGTCGCCTGGCGAGACCTAGAGCTCTATGACTTTTCAGGTGGAGAACTCTTCACAGCTGATTCGCTGCAACTTGAGGCGCCCACCAACCAATCGGCTCGCGATTGTTTTATAAAGACTGAAAAGGCTGTCCGGCAAAACTGAACACACCCAACCTGTGATGCATGCTCACACCCCACTTCAACGAGGAGGTGAACAGGTTTGGGGAGATTTGATGTGTTTTTTTTTGCATGGTATTTCTTGCTAACCCTCCCTGTGACATTGGAAGGCTACTTTGACATTGAGGTTTACTTGTTGTAGGTAGTAGGTAGCTGTTCTTCTGATGTGAATGGAAAGAACACACCACGGTCTTCAAGTTTGTGAGATGATTCAATACTAATACACACTTTCTTGTTGTCAACTAACTTGGAGACATTTGCCTACCTCACTCCTGTAGTTTTCAACGCTTCCAGTCATATTTGCAAAGTAGTTTCTAACCCTGGATGTTGGGTATGCGTTTGACTTTCCAGCAGCCTTATTACTTGATGCATTTTCCGATTCCTCCGTCCAGGGTGGTAGAGGAGCTCTTTGTTTCAGATTCCGAGCTGGATGCTTGCACCTTCAAGGGCAGTGATGAAGACCGGAAGGACAGGCCAGGCCGGCTCTGCAAAAATGCTCGGAGCTTCAAGAGTGCTCTATTGGAATCACGAGGAAGGATTGTAGGAACAGCTCAGTTGACTTACTGTTGGCTATCCTTAACTCAACTCCCTGAACTCTGAAGACACTAGACAGCAAACCCAAAGCTTATCATCAGGCACGTTGCCTAGGGCCTAGAGTATATTGGGTCTTGAGGTGAATCCCGAGGGGCAACTTCAGACTAGGTGACACAGCAAACAGTTGCTTGTGGATGTGAAGTTTGTTTCCCACAAGTCTTTTAAATAGGTGACTTCACCAGATCACCGTTGCATCAGCTTGTCAACTGCGCTTTGCATCTACTGTATGCTATATGGCGAACTAGCAGATGCTGAAGTCCACAAATTGATTGGATTGGTAACTGCAGCCGGAGCATTCCATGCCTTTATCCGCACAAGGGAATCCTTTCCGATCCTTTCTGGCCATCCGATGCCAGGCAATTTATTTGTGCCGTTTTTTCAGCAGTCAGAGCTGCATGGGGATGTCACGCTGCCCTTTGACAAAGTGGTTTGTGAAGAGACCTACTTCCACGGGAAACTGCTCAGGATGACAAAAGGTCGGTGTTGTCCAAAGCTTCGCTGGTTGGGCTAGAATCTCAAAGCCGGCACATTTGCTAGATACTACAAACAAAGCATTCTCATGCTGAATAGATTTCTTCATCTGTGTGAAGGTTCCCGTTTGCTTCAAATCTGTGGATATGCTCAGGTGGGTCCAGCATTAGCCTGAAGCGAGCTCGATTGCGGATGCTGCCCCGCATTGATTGCGAGGGCAAAATCAACCTGTCCTTGGAGGATTGCGATCTGCTTGATCCTTGCTGCTTCACAGTGAACCTTACAGCCTACAAGGGATGTTGATGTTGTTGGTGGATCAATGATTATTGGTTGTATTCCCCTCCGACGTTGAAATTGACACCTCCCCATGCTGGTACTTGGCTGAATGACTTCGAATGATAGCTCCAGCTTTTCCTCCGCTCCAGCGAACCAAGGAGTCTTTGACGTTTCAAGGCATGTTGCTGAACCTCCGTAGCATCTTGAACGCGGTGCAGTGTGTGGTCTCTGCCCTCTCCCAACATGCTCTCCCTTGCTTGTGCTTTGAGTTGTCTCAGGTATCCACTGCTTCAAGCCTTGCGAGTTCTTAGAGGTGGAGTTTCCTTCGAAGGTCTGTGAGATCAACTTTCCGAAAGCAAGTCGTTTCTATAACGTCCGGTTCAAAGATGCATGGCTGACATCTGTAGACGCCACGAAGAAAACCGCTCAAAGGTCGAGCAATGCTTCTTTTCGACGACTAGTAACTAGTCAATGAGGCACCTTCACAGAGACAAAAACACGTTGTGTACCCTGATCGGCCTGTCGTTCACACTATCCAGCAATTACTAGTTATATATATATATATATATACAAACTAGTTTACTATAAACTATAAACAGCATGGCCTGCTGCACAGCAATGCCACAATTAATGCCTGCATTCAATCGTTTGAGCAACTCAAACTGTGTTTGTTTTGCAAACCTTGCGTGTTGAGGGTACTGTTTGTAAGCAGAGTATTGCCTGAAGCATCCTGCCCAAAGCCTAAGGATGGCTTGGAGGCCTGTGTGGCCAACGGTTGTCGTTTCGAATACTGTGACTTGCTTGTGGGGCAAGCTTTTTAATTGTTAGGGCTTGGAGATCCCCCAGTCTTCCGCAATAAACAAGTTTTTTGGCATTTGCATAAGGGGCAGAGGCACCAGAAGCTGTTTGACGCACCAAGGCAATTTGGGCTACGGACAAGAAGCTATGGCCAACTGCCTAATGACCCAATGCAACTTCCAAGCGTGCCGATTCCCTTTTCTGGAGGACACACAGCCGTGTGAGTGCGTTTTTCGTCCCTGTGTGATCATCAGCAATTCATGACCAGTGCGTAGTAGTGCATGCAGTCTAGTGAGTCTAAGTGCATCATATTCAGAGGCCCCACAGTCATTAATTCTTAAGGTAGCAAGGCAAGAAGTAGAAGGCCTTGGGCCTTGCACGGTGTGCATGACCTCAAGAAGTCACTGAAAAGATTTCAGGCGGTGCATTTAAGGAATCGTTTGGACGTGTGTTGCAGAAGCTTAGAGACCCGAAGCACCAACCAATCTGAGGATGGATCACCCGTCTCCAACTTCGCAGGTAGCAGCTTGGACTTCAGCCAGGTCATCCCAAGAAATCTCATTTTGGACTTCTAGAGTGGAGGCCATTGTGTTGTTCGATCCAATTGCTGCCTATCAGACGGTTTGATAAGAAGACCTGTCGCAAGTCGCAATTGGTTCATTCGACCCATTGTACCATATTGTACCTACTGTGCTTGACGGCTTTAACATTGCTTATTATTTGTATAGGGACACAGCGATATGAATATATATGAATATCACATATTTTGTGGGCCATCAGCATGTCCGGGAGATGTTTATGTATGTTGCCTTGCAAGTGTGCAGTCCATTTAATCCTTGGCTGCTTGACACTTACAAGTAGAGCAGAGTTGCTCAATAACCATGCCTCGTTGGTGCATACTTATTCTTTGCATGTATATGTATATATACTGTATATATTTAATGAATTTGCAAGATTGTCTAATTCCCTAGTGTTTTGTTTTCAGTATCCAAAATAGTTTGGTACTATTTTGTTGTCTCCTTTGTGCTGCATGGTTCTCAAACTGTTTGTTTCTGAGAAGTGAAGGGACCATTCCAGGAAATTCAGTTGTGTATAAATGGGAGTCTGCAGAGTCCCTTGAATTAGACCGTTTTGAATAGTGCCAGCTGAAAGGATAATCCGATGGTTCCTCTTTGACAAAGCACTTCTATCAAATTATCAAGGACCTTCAATACACCGGCTCGTGGGGTTAACGTTGATTTGACGTCCCAGGCAATTTCGTGAATTGCCGGATTCAGTGGAGCGGCCCTTTCGCCCATGAAGATCCTTAGCTTCGATTAGCTTGTTCTGAACATTTCTTCTGTCAATTGAACTTGAAACATTATCAATCAACAGACAGGGGTCACTAGGATCATAGTATTTCAGAGAGCTTGAAGTGACTGCAGAATCAAGCACTTGTCAGTTTGGTCAACATGGTAACTCTTGTTTTTAAGCCATTTGACATTGAACTGCTTCTTGAGCCATATTGGAGCCAACTGCGATGAAGCCCTCAGTACTGCCCTTGCCCTGAGGAATCTTTCGTGATCAACTCGCATTGGCTGCGAAAATGGAATTTGGCTGGTTGTACAGTGAGTGACGGACAGCAAGTGTAGTAGCTTCAGCCGCGCCACGACAGGTTCTCAGCAAGCCAGTAGACAGGCATTCACTCTCACGGAAAGGATCATTTTCTTGGCTAGAGTTACTATATTATATACAGTACCGTTTTGAATCATTTTTTGTTGGCAATTGTTTTTTTGTTCTCACATGTTGGCAACAAGGCATCGTGTGAACAAAATGAGAATCTGTGGGCGCCATGTATGGTCAAGAACCCTGATTGGTGATTTCAAATCCGCAAAATGAGATTGGCAACGTATCTACAAATCAGACTGGCGACATCATGGTGCAATTGTTGGCGCAGCAACCTGTTCTCTTTGCAACGGACTGCAAACAACCAACCTGGGTGTCATGAGTCACTGGGGGCAGACCTGGCCCATGGACCCATCACTGTCAGACCCCAGCGATCGGAGAAGACGTTTTGCACCTTAGGAACGGACTGTGAGATGTGAATGAAAACACATCAAGAAGTGAAAGGCTCCCTTTAAGGGGACTTACGAGTCCTTTTCTTCATCTCCTTTCATGTTCATGAATCATTACTCAAATCGCTCAAATGCAAGCACAAACCAAGAAGTAACCATGGCATGTTAAAAGTACGCACTTCAGCGTCCGATTGGAGTGCGCCGCGTGCGCCCAGTTGGACCTCCGTTGGACGGTCCGAGGCATCCTTTGCCATCCACACTACGAATCAGCCCAATTGCGGGAGCGCTGCTTTTGGGTTGAGAAGCTCCATGGCCACAGGACCACGACGGAACATGCAGCTTTTTGCTGGGTTTCGCTTTTGGGTTTCGCCACTTCTGTGTTTTGCCCAAGAAGAAAGCAGCGGACCTTTCGACGACTCGGTACAATTGAATGTTGAGGATTTGCAAATTTGAGTCTCAAGCAGCCGGAGCATGGTTTTCCTGACATTTGGAAGGAGGGCTTAATTCAAAACCATTGCTACTAGTAGGACTGACATGGCACGGCTTGGGACACCACAATTTTGTTCCTCTTCAACGCTTCCAAAAAGTCTTCAATCCCCAAGTTTTTGACGTCCTGCCCTTGGCTAGGACCTTGCAGGAGCCACTTGGATGCGCAAATCATACGAGACATCATAGGTTGCTCTCTCCTTTTCACCTGGGATTGTTTCCTTGACAGCCTGCTCCGAGCGTAGAGTATATACATATATATATATATACCAGAGAGAGTTGTGTGTACTTTCTCTTAAGTCTTATATTACATCAACACATCTCTTTTCTCCTCCTGAAACGGCATTCAGCCATGAGTCTTCGATTGAGTTACAGTTGGCATACTTGGTCGTTGTGGACTCAGTCCATAAACTCTTAGAAGGCAACCGGTACAATAGAAATGAAGCCACCGAATCTGCTGAATGAAGCCTACGCAACATGTGAAAGGACACTCCGAACAATTGGAGAGGTGGAATTTCAGATTCACGATCTACGAGTTTCTCGGTGTTGATTTGTTTCGCTTCAGACCTGTATTGAGTCTGAATTTTGACGCACATATTTACAGTATATACATATTGAAGACATATTGTAATTGCAAAAAGCTTCTATTACACCTTTTATGAATACTTATGTTAATACTAGGTGTTGATATGGTCTTTCAATGTAAAAATGTGTTCTACATACATAATATATATATAAAGACTGTTACATAATTGTATTCTATCACATTTTGTTGTGTCTTATATATATGTATACGTGTATATATATAGTATTATATAGTGTTGCTTGTGTGATGTCAGCGATGCTTGTTGACCTGAGGTATCACACAATACTTATGGATCATTTGCTGGCAGGTTGGGCAACACTGTGGTGACCATCAAGACATGATGATTTTAAGAACGTCCTTTCTCACCAATATATTGCTTCAGTGGGAAAAAGCATCCAGAGATTTCTTTTGATATTGCCAGGCAGCAGTGCGGACCAGCAAGTCTATGTGGCCGTTGCCGTGAAGGCAGATCAGTTATTTAATTGTTATTGAATTTAGCGTGTGTGTATCTACCTACCTATTGTTTCACCTATGCGAATGCTGTTTTTGCGGAAGAGCAGACAAGTGTAGGATTGGTTTGAGCACAGCATTTGGTAGCATTTTTCAAGATGCCAGCGATCTTATTTTGATTTTCGTTCCTGACCTATTGATGAGTTTGTTTTCACTGCTTGTGCATCCTTTTGCCTGAAAGATTGGCTTGTTGAGAGTATGCAAGTGAACAACACAATCTTTGCATAAAAGTCTTGAAAGAAGAGCTGTGGAGCTGCTCCTTTGGCCATTCAGGCTTGCTTTAGTGTGAATCAAGCTGGCCAGTCGATCTCTGAACTGGTGGAAATGAACGAGCCGTGGCCCCAATAGAGGATGAGTGAGAAGGAAACGCACAAAATGTCCACATTGTGTTCAGATAGTTTCATGAGACTCGTTTTTGTGGTTCAATTTATAAGTATTGTTGCCAGTATTTGCCAGTGGTGGTTTGGTTCTGAACATGTGATTCGTCCTTCAATTTGGTATAATTTGGTCGAACAGCCAATTTTGGTCGATTGAATGTGGTTGCTTCAACCATTTTGTCATCCTTCAGACATACAGTGACATACACATACCGCAACTTCATGTCATGTGTTGAAGCTGAATCGAAGCCACTCAGAGCGCTTCGATGACACGGTTGCGCGAACTTGGAAAGCTCAATTTCAGGAGTAAGTGGCAAGTTCTGGACTTATGCGTAATTAGGTGTTCATGACTTGTTTTGTCAAGCATCCGCAGTCGAAATCAGTCAGGGCCCAAAGTGCAAAACGCAGGGTACTCATTGGCTGTCGTGAGACCCGGGACTCTCCCTCTTTAGAATATTCACTCCCGTGAGCACTAAGTCATGCTAACATCCGCTTGACACGGGCTTTTCAGGCCGTGGCGCTGGAAAAAGCCAAAGACATGTGTACCTTGACAGGGTGTTGAGTTCTTTGATTCCAAGCTTTGGAGCGATTTGGACGGGTCATGTCGACATTTGCAGGCCTTGTTGAAGTTTAGCTTGATTCCACTAGGAACAAGGGCATCGAGTTTTTTCTCCTCAAAGGATCATTTTTCTTTTGAAGCTGCCATTAACTCATTCACCAGTTCAATTCATAAGACATGTCAATGTAGCAATGTAGGCCCCGCGGATTCCTACACAACTTTCTTTTCCGGACGACGAATGCAAGACTGGCACAAGAACACGTGCTCTCAAATTGAACTGCTACTACAATTACTCAACTGCTGTTCAGTGACATGTATATTTTGATAATTACATTATACAAGATTGGTTGGCTAGCTGCTGACCGGTATGCTACAAGGAATCCGTCCCAGCTCCAGAGACACTGGCCACGAGAACTCACCCTCACATAGCCCAGTCAAGTTACTCCCGGTCGGGGAATCGGGAAGATTCGCTGCTTGGCACACTTTCAGGATCTCCTGTACCGCCTGGCGAGCGAAAAGGAGGGAACAGCCAGATGGAACCAACAGATGCATGTAGGTGGGAACTGGCAGGAACTTGAGAGTCCAGTCTTTTCTTTTCTGCGGACAACATGCCTTGGTATAAGGTTATATATTCAAACCGACTCGAGTATCTATACAATATATATATATACTATGAATCTTGGAGGTGATGTGACTCAATTTTGACCGAGTTGTGACTACTCCGAGTGGTTCTCGTGAGTGTGAACGCCTATATAGACTTTCTTGACAGCGAGGGTGACAGCCCACTGGTATGAACGGAACAGCTCCCAGTCAAACATGGTGACGAAGCAGGCATCACCATGTCCACCTCCCGACAGTGTTCTGCCGGAGCTATATGAGCGACGGACAAAATTATTGGTTGACTTATTTAGTCACGGCATGACCCTAAACCTATGTTGAGGACTTCGTTTCTGTGGAAAACGATATGGTCCCCACCAAAAACGATAATCTTGTTAAGACGTACTGTAGTGGGTACAAAGACGTTTGTGGTTACAATATGTTATTGCATTTGCATTTGCATGTTTATTTGAGCTAAACCGATGGGCACAACTTTTCACCAATGATAACCCCAGACAACTTCCCAAACGATAATCCAAACGATAAGCAAACGATAACCTAAATGTCGCGCCAGTCACTCCGTAGACCTACTTCTCCACATTACTAGTGACTAGTGTTTGTTCATGGGCCGAGCTACTAGGTCCCCGCTTATGTGTTGTGATCCTTGCACAGCCCAGTGCCACAAGAACCCAAGTGCATAAATCAACTGCTGTGCCATTCCTGTCAGAAAGCACTGTAAGCCTCTAAGACTCTAATCTGAGGTTGTGAGTTATATTTTATGTTTTAGTCTATGTGCCGGTATGCTATGCTAACTGCGGTTTGGAGAAACATTGGAGAACGATATGGACCCCACCAAAAACGATAATCATGTCAAATGGTATTTGGCTACACAAGTAATTTTGTCCGCTGCTCATATAGCCGTTGAAGTTCCTAAAGTGAGTTGTTGCTCTTGTGAAACCCGCTGCATTTGGTTTGGAACCCCTTTCTAATTGCAGGTTTGGTGTTCTTGGTGTTCAGTCTGTGCACTGTATGTGAAGCAAATATTTTCGGAAGGTTATATACACAAGTAAAGAGGTGGACATGGGATCTCAAAAAGCATGTTCTAGATGAACAACAATAATATGCTCACCAAACACGGATGACAGATACAAGCCGAGAAAAAATGACACGTCATTCTATGTTTCTTCTCCTTCGGCTTGTTTGTCGCGGTCTATACTCCTTCGGGGACCTGCCTGGGCTGGGCGTAACGACGTGTCATCAGGAGCCAATTGGCTTTCAGCCGCTTTGGTTGGGGCGTTGGTTTGCCCTGCTCAAGGTCCTGCCACGGTTTGACCGAGGCACCGATGTAGCAATCGGTCGCATGAGACCTGTACAGAGCGAGAGGGTTGCACGCACCAATCTGGAGCAATCTTCTACGAAATACTAGGCGAGTGCTCATAAAATTCCCATTGCTCTTGTGCTA